GAGAGAGAGAGAGAGAGAGAGAGAGAGAGAGAGAGAGAGAGAGAGAGAGAGAGAGAGAGAGAGAGAGAGAGAGGGAAAGCTATTTAGTTTGATGTGCGCTCACCGTTGGGCACAATGGTTCAAGACTTTGAATAATGGGTTGATTGCGCAACTGGGTTTCGGTTGCGATGTGTGATATAATGATATTGCAATGTGTACATGATGCGAACTGTTTTTCATACGCTTCATTTGTATTGCTGTTTTAATGCTTGTTTCACGCGGCATCCTCATGTCGTCTTGGGCAGTCTCATGACTGCGTGTAACCGTGTATGTACATGCGATTTTGCGATGCCATTCAAGTATTTGCTTTTGTCTTCTTTATCCACCGACTTGTTTTCCAATCATTTTTGTTTGTTTAACACGAATGCACTGACGAAGCCGATGAAGAAATCCAAAGAACCTCGAATGGCATTCACGGAGAACATCGAAATCAGCAGACGACAGATTGACCCTTCGCATGCAAAAGGATACACAGTGTTGAACTCAAACCGAAAAAAATCTCACGAAAGAAATGCATATTTAAAAAGATCTGAAATATACGAAAGCTTCGACTACCACTCGTAAGACGAGACAAGTCCTCTCTGCAGGAAGCAAAAACGACAATAAAAGACGACGTCCACACACAGGACCTCTATCCCCGACGTCGTCACCAATGCCACTCACCGACATCCCAACCTGCCGCTTGACCTGTCCACCGCCCCTCCGTCGATGTACGCACGTCGACACCTACCCTGGAAAGAAGACACTACCCAAATACCGAGCTCGCCACAGTGGACGGACTGCAACACTCATTGACACGACGAACAACCACCCTGATGATCGAGGATCGCCAAAAACAGTGCATCTTCCATGCACCGTGGGGAACTGCGAAAGAAGACACCGTACGTACACGATCCAAACCGCCTGCACGAAGATGATAGAAGTCAACAGACCATCACCGTGTTTAAGTAATCGATGGTGGCACGATGGATAAGAGAAGCCTGCAGTTCGCACACACGAAGTAGCAGGAAAAGGCCGATGACGATGGCGATGTTGTGGATCACGAGTGTTTCATTCGCTTCGCCAAAGCGTGTCGGAGCGCGAGCGCCTCGTCTATTTAAGTGGCATTGCTCACTGGCTGGGGGGGAAGTTGAATTCCCAGATCCATATGTCGCCGCACACCATTGAGGTCCACTTCCCATAGCAGATTCTCGTCAAACTCTATCCCTGCATCGAGAAGAATGTTGTGCAGAATGCAGACCGCGGTAAACTGTTGCGGCAGAGTGTCTAGGTTTGTCTTGTGAGTTCGCAGGAACAGCCTCCACATGCCCTTCAACCTGCCAAACGCTCTCTCCACAGCCCCTCTGGCGACCTTCTGCTTCGTGTCGAATCGTTCCTCATTGGGATGTTGATTTGTTCCTCCATACGAGACCACCACCCATTTCGATGGAGGGTACTCGTTGTCGCCCAGGATGTAACCATTGGTTCTCACCCCGCTTGGCAGCGTCACAGGTGGCCCACGGAACAACGTCCCGTCCGGGCCCCTGGACAGGCTCGACAGCTGGATGATCCTGATGTCGTGGCAGCTCCCCGGATACCCAACGAAAACGTCCAGAACGTGCAGATCGAGGTCGACCACCACCTGCGCGACCACGGAGAAACGGTGTTTGTGGTCGAAGTAGTTCTCGCTGGCCGCGTTCGCCGGTTTGTCGACATAGATGTGTGTGCAATCGACCGCTCTGTGGCAGTTCGGGAAACCCTTGTCCAGGAATGCCCGCAGCGTGACATGTTTCCGCACACCAGTCGGCCACGATATCTTGTCCGTGTACACCCGAAGCAACGCGGATGTCACATCGCGCACCGCGATTATTCCTGAGGCTCTCCCCACGCCGAACGATGATGTGTTGCTGTCATATGTCTCTCCTGTCGCCCACCGGTACAGCGAGTACGCGACGATCTGCTCCGGCTGCAGCGGTTCCCTTTAAAAGGTAACCTGTCTTTGGAGATGTGGAGCGCAGGTTTCGCTGATCTCCATGAAAACTCGCCTAGGCATGTGAAGCTTCGCTCGGAAGTAGTCCTCACTCGCATCGTCGCAGACCCGCAAGTCCTCCCAAGTGCCCCCTTTTATGCACTTCATCCACCATCAAGGCAACGCCCAGGGAACGACACCACACTCGATTGCGGCGTAGAGCTGGAAGACGGCCTCCGAAGTGCTGATGCAATCCGGGGCATCCACCACCCTCTGCACGAGCAGCCTCTGCCGACGCGCGAAAAGCCTGGCCTTCGTCGTCCCTGCTGCTCTCTCAATCTGGCTGCGGATCACGACGGCAAGCGCGGCAGCTGCAACCGTTGTCTTCTCCGTCGGCGACAACACTGCACGACAGCCATCGCCGCCACCCTCCATCGCTTCCTTCCAACATGGACACGAAGCCCGCCGCCACACAATCGCCTCCAATGACACCGACTCCGAAACAAGACACGCCTGCAATTCGCATGCTGCAACCCCTCCCGCGGGATGTGCCCACGGATGTGTTCCGTCGTCGCCGATGTCGTGGCCACAGAAACGCGAACGCACGTGCCCACTGTATACCGACTGTGTAGGTCGTCAGTTTCGCGCGTAGACAGCAATGACGACCGTCATCACGCCACACCCTTCAAGTACGGGAAGCGATGGAATCATGGAAACAAACGACGACCACCAAACCCTGCGCGACGTGCCCTGACCTGCCCACCAACGCCCCGCTCCGCCGCGTCGGCATCTTCATGCACGCGTGGGAATTCGAATTTTGAATTTGGAAACCGTCGTTTCCCGCGTTCGGGACGTCCACTTCCACGGCCCGTGAAGCAAGGCCACCATACACCTCCTGGACCATGGACCCTCATCACTGACATCCAGCACCAGAGGACGGACAAACCCTCCCGCGGCCGCCTGTAATATTATGAAGCTGGCCGGGGAACCGCGCCGAGGATTCATCCTCGGAGCGCTTCTCCGAGGATAGGTGGAACGACGACTCCAAAAACTTCAAAAATTTTCGAGGATTCATCCTCAGAGCCCGAGGACGCGCTGAGGAGTGTCTAACGAGGCCCTTGATCTCTTTTCTGTAAGAGGCTCGCCACACAGGCTGTAGAAAACCCGGTTTTCGACAATTTTGCATCCCCCCACAGACTTTCGAAGCATTGCGGCTCTAAATCTTTTTGACAGGTGTCAAAATGGTACGCTCGACAGCCACCCTCCCCCTTTCGTTTTCTCCCCCCTGCAGCAGACGGAAATTCGTCGACAGTGCCCCACCGGCCTTTCGAGAATTGCGTTCAAATTTGCGTTGTCAGGGACTTTTCCGTGATGGCCATGACAAAAAAACCTGATCGACCCCTCGACAGCCTGAATGGTGAAGGGGGGTAAACTATGGACCACCTACTTTCAAATTTTTTTCTGACACCTGTGGAAACTCTTTGAGTTTCAACAGCCTGTGTGGAGAGCCTCCAAAGGCCTTGCCACACCAATGTCGAAACATCACGAAATTCGACATATGTTAGGAAATTCTCGACATTCCCTCTTTCGACAGAAAACCCCTCTTCGCCACACAACATGTCCAAGTGAAGAACTCACAAGTCCTGTGCACAAAAGGGACAAACTGAGGTGAAGATATGACAAGCGTTGGTGCGTTCTCTTTTTTGACATTCGGGCAAGAATTCAACATCCCATCCGAGGAGTGTTGAAAATGTGCAAGTTGCAGGCCTGAAGTGGAAAAGAGCCCTTCTCGAGAGGAGGTGTAGAAACCCTTTCCCTGACACCTCCTGATTTTTTTTTGCATCTCGGATTTCGACATGCTGTGTGGCGATGAGAAAATGTAGAAAACTGCATGCAGTTCTCGACATTGGTGTGGCGAGGCCCTAAGATCTTGAAGGGAAGCTGGGTAAGACTTCCAGACATTTAGTCTAGTCGGATTTTTTCAATGGTTCCTCGTTATTTCCCTTCCTCTATTTCTATTTCCAGAATTTTTATTATTATTATTTTTTTTTTTCCAAAAAAAAAATAGGGGGATAGCGATAGCAGTAACGCTTCATGCGCTAATTCTCGGCGGCGCTAACGCACCGCTCGGGTTAGCTGTCGTCGTCATGATACAGTGATTTTCTCGACAACTTCCAGGTAGTTGGAACGCCCCCCGCCCGTCAAAGCTTGGCTATGACGGTCAAGAGAGTTACAGTGCAACCCTTATCTGGGAAGCAACCGTTGGGGTGGAAGTTTTCTCCCAAGGGGGCTCGGAGTTATACTCCGCTATCCCTGCCCACATTGCGTTATTAGCAAAATGACCTCTTAAGGCGGTTTTAGCAGAGCAGAAACATGCTTGGATCTGGCTAGCCTAATACATTTTAGGTGAAGAATAAAATTTGAGCAGCCCAATGGATGTATGACGCTGTATGTTTATAGAGTCATTTAGCAGTAAGAGGCCTCGGTCTCGTTTTTGGAAGCACATTTTGTATGCTTGGTCAAAAATCTTACCTGCTAACTTTATCCCCCCTAAGTCCTCTGATGAAATCCTCCTGTAGCCTATTTTTTAGAATCCCTATCTTCAAGATTTGGATGGTCTTTTTTTTTCATCCCAGGATGTACCAGGTAATTTTGGAAAGGCTTGTATGGCAAGTTGGGGATTGGAGGAAACACAATAAAATTTTTCGGAATCGGGCCACGAGTGCTGAATCCATCTGGGTGGGAAGACAGGCTACGAAAATTACTATACCCAGTAATCGCGCGGTTTGTGCGATGAATGATGACGTACTAAAAACAGTAGTCGAGAGGCAAAATGAACAGAGCGAGATTTTAAGGAAAAGGAGAATACCAGATCCCTTGAAGCATCTGATCTCAAGGACGAAGCTTATACCTTTGAAACAACGAGTTGAAGCCGGTCCTTGGGCCAACCTCTGCAGGTAGTGACAAGTCTTCCAATACCGCCGCGATGTTCACCAGCGAGACGTCTTCCAGGGGCGGCCTGCCAATGGCACCCGAGTTACCGTGGTAGAGTCGCAATCCGTATAGTGTTGTCTCATCATTATGTCTGAAACATCCGAATCCCCTTTTCATCCGACCTCCGACTGTAGCAAACCATACCGCCCTCTCTCACACTCCCACCTGTTTCAATCCCTTCTCTGTCTCTTTCATTCTCTCACACCAGTGGTCCCTAAACCCGCCTGTGCCTGTCATTTTCTCAACGCCTCTGATTGTTCCCTTACTCCGTAACCCAATTCAGCCCACCCTAGCAAGACTAATACCAACCCCATCCCTTCGGTTATACCACCGAGTTAGGTCGCTCCCGGCAACATCCACTCCCCGTCCCCACAAGGGTTGCATTCCGATTCTACCATCCACGCCCAACCCAATTCCCGCCAGTCGTCTCGGCACTCACCAACCCCCACAACGTCACCTTGTTGCGCCACCTTGCCTTCCCAGACCAACGCCCATTACCAACCTGCTCCCGCATGCACCAACATTGCACCTCTTCCATCTCCTGGAACTTCCCCTCACATTACCTCTCTCTCATGTCTGCACGGCAACTCTGATAAGTTTACCCTGACAACCCTCCCGCCCTCGGATTTCCTTCTTGTTCACCCCACTCATCACACTGCTTTCCTCTTCAGGACAGAGCCCTCTCAACTCAGACAATATTCCCGCCCTGGATGCTCGCTCCCCTCATCCCCCCCCCTCGGCCACCCTTTATCATCCTCTCCCAGATCTGACCCCCCTACTCCAACTACTACGCTTTGTCTGTATCCCTACGATAATCTCGACAACCCCTCCCAGTCGCTCCCCCCGTGCTGTCCCTTTCCCAGATTCTTTTTTTTTTTCCCCTCTTCTTCGGTAGTGCCGCTGGTATCGTGCCCACCTTTAGCCCTCTTAACTGTCTATACTTACCCTCTCCTCTAACCCAGACAAGAGACCCACGTTAGTACCTCTCCCGTAATTAATTTTTTGGGTCTGAACACCGATCAACCTCAATGGAAGACTATTCTTCCCAGGGCCACAGTGCCCCACAAACGGAAGATGAACTGAGCCACCTTGCCAGTATGGTGGGGAACTGGTACCTCAATCAAACGTTCCTGGACGTTTCTGACTATGTCGAAGCCACAATAAACGAAGAAGACAGTTGCATCGAGATCCGCTCGAAGGACAACATCCGAAAGGTGGAAAAGGAATTTCTGAAACAACACGCGGTAGCTTTCCTCTTTCAAGGGGAAGCAAAAGATTTAAAGAACGATAAAAAAATGATTTGATTCGTTCGATCAAAGATGCCCTTCTGCCAGAGGATAAGCTCTTAACGCAGAGGTCTCACCCACTTCGAGAGTAAGATGCAACTCACGTACATTCCCAAGCTCCCTCTAATATCCGAATGGATGTTACAGAAGGGCATGAAACGTTTTCTGGAAAGGGGAAGACCTACAAGATCCTCTTCAGAGCATGAATGCCCAAAGCAGACTGGTTGGCGCATAGGGAGGAAGAAAAGAAGAAGGTGTATTGGATAATGGCCATGCGATTCCCTATAGACGCCTCGATGTATATCAAGACAGGCATCGAGCTCGTCATGAGGAAAATCATCAAAGACTATGACATTATTAACGATCCGGTGGATCCCAAACTGGGCAACGTGAAATTCGGGCTACATCCCAGTGCCGAATAGAAGTTCATTCGGTCGCTCAAGGTCCTGACCGGTAAAGATTTCCTTACGGGTGACCTGGTTAATAGTAACACTCCTTGGTGCAACGATTGCAAACGATCAACAGAAAAATTTCCTATAATAAATAATCATTCTATAATAAAATTATATTCTAAATTTTAAATTTTCATTCCATCTTAAAAAATGTCATTCCAATTTTAAAATTTTCCGTCTTACTTCAAAACGTTTCTTTCAAGAATCAAGTATCCCTTTTTATTTGAACTGCATGCTAGAGATTGAATGAAAGTTTGAATGAGTTCATGAAATATTTAAATTGGACTGTCATTCTAAGTAAGGATTTTCAGTCATAGATGGGTTAATTCAATCTAAATTAGAAGATATTTGTTGTGGTAGAATGACAATTTAATTAAAACATTTCATAAACTCGTCCAGACTTTCATTCCATCTTAAACAAATAGATGTAGTTGGAAGGGAAAACTCTTATTTAGACGGGAACTTATTAAATAAAACTGAAAATCTTATAATTTGACGAACATTGGAATGATAATTTACAAATATGAAGGATTTTTTTTTTATGGCATGTTTTCTAAACTTTTCTTTCTCATGGGAATTTTTATATTTATATATTCACCTGGAGGGTGACTGTCTCTGCACAGATAACAGTAACGAGGCAGGTCCATCTTATGGAAACGATGGAAATGGGGAAGCCCCATTCCCCAATAACACCCCCATGGAGCATACTGGAAAGAACACACAAGCTTTCCCGGCTCCCACGTCCGAA